GGTAGACTTGAGATGAATGGATGTATTCTGAATTCTCTGTTTGCAGTAAGTGAGGCACCTCTAGAAAGACACAGGCCCCTTGTCTGGTTCACCACTGCCCCTTGTGTCTGGCATACAGAGGCACTCAGTACATTTTGGTCTGTCTTCAAGTGCAATAGTTATTTTCCTGGCCATGTCCAATCCATTGTGGAGTTCATCAAAGGCACTCTTCATTTCTGTTACAGTGTTTTTGATTTCTAGGATTTCCTTTTTTTTTTTAAAGATTTTATTTATTTATTCATGAGAGACTCACTCAGAGAAAGAGAGAGACAGAGAGAGGCAGAGACACAGGCAGAAGTAGAAGCAGGCTCCCTGCAGGGAGCCTGACCCGGGACTCCATCCTGGGACTCCAGGATCAGGCCCTGGGCTGAAGGGGCACTAAACCCCGTTGAGCCACCTGGGCTGCACTAGGATTTCCTTTTAATAAGCTTTGTTAGAGCTTCCATCTTGCTGCTTACCAGTCTCAACTATTCTTGCAAGTTTTCCCAAAACAGCTCTTAAAATATTTATCATAGCTCTTTTAAATGGCCCACCCAATCATTCCAAAATCTCCACCATACTTTCATTTGGTTCTGATGCTCTTTAGCATGTGTTTTTTGCTTGTGTTTTAGCATGCTTTTTTTTTGCTTTCTGAAAATCATACATGATGTGTCAGGTAATAGGGAACTGATGTGACATGCCTTTAGTATGTGCTTTTCTGTTAATCTAGCTCAGGTTTTAGGCTGTCTTTTTTTTTTTTTTTTTTTTTTTTTTTAGGCTGTCTTCATCTCTGTTGTAGTTGCGAATGCCAGAGGTTTCAAAGTAAATAGAGTCTGTGTCTTACAGCTCTTCTAGTAATAATCCACTGCTATTTTACTGGAGCTCTGCTGGTGCTGATAAAGTGTGGGCAAGGGTAAATGTTCATATGTAATCTTATAATTAAATATCAGTCTTTCAGTGGACCTGTGTTCCTGAGATGTGACCCTCACTAGCATTTATTACCTTTTTTTTTTTTCCTTCCCTCAGGTGAGACAGGAAGGCTAGAGGGGGCTGGAGGCAGGGAAATGCCCTTCCAGATAGGATAGTCCTTTCCCTTATAAAGCTGGCTTTTGTTATTTGAATGCTCTAGGCATATTTTATTTTATTTTTTATTTATTTGAGAGAAAGAGAGAGAGAGAGAGAAAGCGAGCACTTGTGCAAATGAGTTGGGGGAGGGACAGAGGGAGAGGAAGAAGCAGATTCCCCACCGCGCAGGGATCCAGACTCGGGCTCCATCCCAGGACCCAGAGATCATGACCTGAGCAGAAGTCAGACGTTTAACACGACTGAGCCATCCAGGTGTCCCTATGCAAATACATTTTTTTTAATTACTTAAATTATTTATTTGTTTATTTATTTGTTTGTTTGTTTGTTTTGGTATATTTTTTTATTGGAGTTCGATTTGCCAACATATAGCATATCACCCAGTGCTCATCCCGTCAAGTGCCCCCCTCAGTGCCCGTCACCCAGTCACCCCCACCCCCCGCCCACCTCCCCTTCCATCACCCCTTGTTCCTTTCCCAGAGTTAGGAGTCTCTCATGTTCTGTCCCCCTCTCCGATATTTCCCACTCATTTTCTCTCCTTTCCCCTTTATTCCCTTTCACTATTTTTTATATTCCCCAAATGAATGAGACCATATAATGTTTGTCCTTCTCCGATTGACTTACTTCACTCAGCATAATACCCTCCAGTTCCATCCACGTTGAAGCAAATGGTGGGTATTTGTCGTTTCTAATGGCTGAGTAATATTCCATTGTATAGATAAATCACATCTTCTTTATCCATTCATCTTTCGATGGACACCGAGGCTCCTTCCACAGTTTGGCTATTGTGGACATGGCTGCTAGAAACATTGAGATGGGGCAGCCCCGGTGGCTCAGCGGTTTAGCGCCTCCTTCTGCTCAGGGCGTGATCCTGGAGACCCGGGATCTAGTGCCGTGTCGGGCTCCCTGCAGGGAGCCTGCTTCTCCCTCTGCCTGTGTCTCTGCCTCTGTGTCTCTCATGAATAAATAAATAAATTTTTAATTAATTAATTAATTAAAAACATCGGGGTGCAGGTGTCCTGGCATTTCATTGCATCTGAATCTTTGGGGTAAATCCCCAACAGTACAATTGCTGGGTCGTAGGGCAGGTCTATTTTTAACTCTTTGAGGAACCTCCACACAGTTTTCCAGAGTGGCTGCACCAGTTCACATTCCCACCAACAGAGCAAGAGGGTCCTCCTTTCTCCACATCCTCTCCAACATTTGTTGTTTCCTGCCTTGTTAATTTTCCCCATTCTCACTGGTGTGAGGTGGTATCTCATTGTGGTTTTGATTTGTATTTCCCTGATGGCCAGTGATGTGGAGCATTTTCTCATGTGCGTGTTGGCCATGTCTATGTCTTCCTCTGTGAGATTTCTGCCCATGTCTTTTGCCCATTTCATGATTGGATTGTTTGTTTCTTTGCTGTTGAGTTTAATAAGTTCTTTATAGATCTTGGATACTAGCCCTTTATCTGATACGTCATTTGCAAATATCTTCTCCCATTCTGTAGGTTGTCTTGTAGTTTTGTTGACTGTTTCTTTTGCTGTGCAGAAGCGTTTTATCTTGATTAAGTCCCAATAATTCATTTTTGCTTTTGTTTCCCTTGCCCTCATGGATGTATCTTGCAAGAAGATGCTGTGGCTACACATATTTTTTTTTTTTATTTTACGATAGTCATACAGAGAGAGAGAGAGAGAGAGGCAGAGACACAGGCAGAGGGAGAAGCAGGCTCCATGTACCGGGAGCCCGACGTGGGATTCGATCCCGGGTCTCCAGGATCACGCCCTGGGCCAAAGGCGGGCGCCAAACCGCTGTGCCACCCAGGGATCCCTACACATATTTTTAAATGGTAAATATTCCCCTTCCTTTGCCAGAACCATATGGGGATCACTCTTAGCTCTTCATCCTGAACCTGGTGAGGTTCCTAGAAATAACCACCGACCCTGTAAAAAAAGATGGCAGACACCAGGAATTTCTTACTCTCAGGCTAATCCACAGTGGGCCTCCAGCAATTTATGAAAACTGTCATCTAAGTGCTCCCGTCAGTGTATGGCTCTAGTGTCTTCTGTACAGGAGCAGAAATCCTGACTGTGACTCTGGGTTGGCGTGTCTCTCCAGAGCATGGAATGTAGCTCTGCCCTGTGACCTCAGTCTCTGATAGGTTCAAGAGAAGGTTTTGGTTTTCAGCTTGTTCAGCAGTTTTTGCTCTAAGGATGCGAGCGATGCCTTGCAAACTCTGTACATATTGGAGCTGAAACCCAAACTCCCTCAGTACATTTCTGCTGAATGAATAAGGCATAGTAAATAGGTCTGAATGAACACTTGTGGAGTGAAGGAGGCAAGGATTAAGCCAAGTCTAGCTGGGGTGAGAAGTGGAAAACTAGGGAATACAGTGGGATAGCAGATATTTAGGGAAGGAAAATTTAAAAATAAAACAAAACCAAAAAAAAAACCTTAACAGAGACTTGTGCTTAGTTATGTTCTGCATACTTGCAAATTTTGCTCTGATTACCTGAAGGTTTTCTGCATTTTACAAATCTATTATCAGAGTCATAGGAGGGAAGAAATAACATAAACCATAATCCAGTGGTTTAGGACTGGCATGAATGCTGGCAAGACAAGTTATCTCTCCTTTTGCTTGAAGATACTCATGGGGGTGGTTCCCCATCAGTGTCAGCCAAGGTGGTGTGACTGCTGTTTTCGTAACTTCAGGGAGTGCAGTGGCCTGGAGGTCACAGTAGTGAAACTGAAAGACATGGGAGTGACCTCGGAGTGGAAAGATAAGACAGTACACTTGACCTTCCTGGGGCACAAGCATGGGCAGGAGACTCTCCTGCTGAGAGCTCCTTCTTAAACCTCTTAACTGCCTTCTTATACTCTTTCTTTAAAACTCTGTTCATTTTCTGTTTAAAAAAATAATGGAGGAAGGACTGGCAGCAGCGGTGTGGGAAATCCCAGGAAGATCCTTTCCATCCCTCTATGAACACTGTACTATCAAACTGGAAATCAGTGTGGAAAGAATAACAGTCATTCACTTTGGCTTCAGTTGTCTTATGGGTAGGGTTAACAGCTTGGACTAGAGGGTCTCTATGTTCTTTGAGTCTCCACTGTTGAGTGAGTCTGGATTTCAAGAGGTGGGCCCAGGCAACCCAGAAGTTCACCCTGGCTCCTCCATTCATTTCAGAACACTTATATCTCATTCTCAAGGAATTTTCTGGAGAAAGAACTCTTAATTGTCTGTTAGGAATTGGCTTCCATCTGTCTTATCTTGGGCCACCTGTGACAGGCCAAGGATGTCAGCTGGCCATGTGGTCACTGATTCAACTCTGAAGCATGTAGCACCGCTTGGAAAAGAATCAACCTTTGAAAAGTCCTGAGGGTTTTCTTTTTCTAAAGCTTTGTAACAAATGTAAGTGATTTTGCATGGTTGGTTTTTTTTCTTTCTTTTTAAGTAGACTCTTTAAAAAATAAAAAGAAACTCCTTTTCTGATTGTATATTAATACATGTTCATTGTTGAAAATGTGGAGAATACAGAAAATTATGCTGTCTGTATAATTTTAGTATACAATAAAAATTGTTAGTAGTCCCATTACTCAGAAATTAACACTTCTGCTTTAAAAAAAAAAAAAACAAAACAAAAGCACTTGTGCTTTTTAAACAAAATTACAGGGGATCCCTGGATGGCTCAATGGTTTAGTGCCTGCCTTCCGCCCAGGGTGTGGTCCTGGAGTCCCCGGATCGAGTCCCACTTCAGGCTCCCTGCATGGAGCCTGCTTCTCTCTCTGCCTGTGTCTTTGCCTCTCTCTGTGTGTCTCTCATGAATAAATAAATAAAATCTTTAAAAAAATAAACAAAATTACAACTTTTAATTTTAAAATTACTACTTTTAATTTCCTTTTTGTCTCAATGCCATAGTTGGAAAATTTTTCCATTAATTATATAGTATAATAATCTTTCTAAATACACCATTATATATATGCACTATTCCTCTATTATTTTATTCATACAACATAGTTATAGTTACATAGCTTTATATATTTAGGACTTTTCAAATTACAAGCAACCTTGTAAAAATCCAGGTAGCTAAATTTCTCTATCAATTCATTAGTATTTTACCAATAAGGACTTGCCAGGCAGACAATGTAGATCCAAAACATTAATTATTTTAGTGCATACTATTAAATTATTTTTCTGAGAAAAACCTTTACCAATTGACTTTTCACCAGCATTGTAGGATAATCTGTTCATTTTGCCTCAGACAGGCCAAATAAATTTTACCTTAAAAATAAAGACTGCCTATTTTGAATGTGGAAGATGACACTTTGTTTTCCTAAGGTGAGTTCATATGATTACTAGTGAGAGTGAACATTTTTCCCCTCTTTTTTTGGTAAAGAATAGCATTTCAGATCGAATTACAATTAGTTTTGAAGTTACACATATTAGCCTGGTTTTATGAATAGAACGTCTTCATTTATGTCATTATTACATAATATATTTGGATACTGTTTGTAACCACAGTTTGCTGAATACTCTGGTATGTATTTAAGTATTCAGCATGAATGTATATAGTCAGAAACTCAGTCCCTTGGAAAAATAAATATATCAGATAGTTATTCTCTGTGGTTCATGGGGGCAGATTTTATGTACAATTCCATAACTTGGGAGCACTCAACAAAATCATCTCATTTCCTTCATCTGACAAAGACTTACTGAGTTCCAATGGCTGCTGTAGATATGGATAGTTTTGCATGGGTCAGTCGTGATTCTGTGCTTACAATTCTAGTGCAAGGAATAGATGAACAAAAAAGGGAAACATACAAATTGATAAAATAATATAGAATATGAAGTCTTAAACAAGAGGCTGTTGAGCTACAGAATAGCAGAAGAGAACACACTTTGCTAGTTTGACAGGATGTTCAGAGAAGACTTCACAGGTGACATTCAAGTTAACACCGAAAGAAGTGTGATAACCTTGATGGTAGGAAAAAGTGAAGGGGTTCAGGGATGGATAGTGGCCAGATCATTTGGGGCCTTTCAGGGCACAGCAAGAATGATGAGTTTTATTCAGAATTCAATGGGGGAAGCCATTGATGGGTATCAGGCAAGAGAATGATGTGATCCTACGTCTATGTAAAGACGATCATGCTTTGTTGCTGCATGTAGAATAAAGAGTAGAGGTGGAGTGCCCAAGTAAACTATCGCAGCAATGCAGATGAGAGACTATGGAGGCCTGGGGTAAGGAGATAGACACAGAAGAAGAAGAACTAATCCTATAAACATGGTCTATATTGTGGAATCACACGTGCATGAATTTAACGGACTCTGCTGACTCCAAATCCTTCCCAAATCCAGTCCTATTAAAAATGGGATTGATTCCTCTTAAGAGAGAAAGATGACAGTTGCTCTGTGGGGTCACAGAAGGAAATGCCAACTTGAAGCCAGGTTCTTCCCTATAATTTCTCAAACACAGTAGTATGTATGTCTTATTAAACAAGATTTAGAGGATGGATGCCTGGGTGGCTCAGTGGTTGAGCATCTGCCTTTGGCTCAGGGTGTGATCCCAGGGTCCTGGGATTGAGTCCCACATCCAGCTCCCGGTATGGAGCCTGCTTCTCCCTCTGCCTATGTCTCTGTCCCTATCACTGTGTCTCTCATGAATAAATAAATAAAACATTTTTAAAATAAATAAAGAAGATTTAGATTCAAATCCAAATATCATTGAGTACACACCAAGTGTCAGACTTGTTCTAGAAGCTTTCACATATATCCTATTTCACCTGCCGTGGTTGAAAATAAAGCCATACTTAAGTTAGTACATAAATAAAGCAAATTTGGTTTTTGAAAAGTCTATTCATCATTCCCTGAGCTCTTCCTTGGAAAGTAAGACCCCTCAGGTGTACTTTGTCCAAATGAGTCAGTCCTGTTTACTTCTGTTATGCAGGCAAAAAAAAAAAAACTGAGAAGTCTGATCTGACTGCCTAAGTTTCTTACTTCTGCTTTTGTGAGACTGGTACAGAAAACAGTACATCCAGCTCTCATGTCTAAGGGTTAGAGGCCTAACCACTGCACAGACCCAGTTACAACTCTAGTGACAAGTATTTTCACGTACAGAAAATCAACCACTTCTGGGCCTTGGAACCCCAAGGTCCAAGATAGTGGGTCAGGACAGGATGCAACATCATTACTTGGTTCCCAACTGACCTTCCCCTAAGACCAGACAGGCTCTGGCATTGACCTGACTTACCAGCCTAGCCTTTTCCCTCCACCTCCACATCCACCACCACCACCATTATGGTGGATTTCTTCTTGAGGACTATTATTGGACACTTCAGGCCACTTAGTTTATTTAGGACCATCGCAGCACAACAGAAGGGTTACAGTAACTTGAAACTCCAAAGCGGAAAAGCCAGGATTTCTGATTTACTAGGGAAATCTTTAGTCCCTTTGCAAGATTTACAAAAAGAGAGTATCTGTTTTTGACATTTATAACTATGCAGTAGTTTTTAAAAATACTCAAGTGGAAGCTCTGGGTGTCAAGTTCAAAAGTAGCAGGGAGCTTGAGATTTGGGAGTGATGGCTGTATTGGTAGTTGAGTGACAAGTGAGGATGTGATTGCAGAGAAGACAGCTGAAATGGAACCAGGGAAATAGTACAGTTCAGAAGTAAGCCCTCCAAGGAAGCTGAGAAGGAGCTCTTAGGGTAGTAGAAAGATACAGTCATGTCATAGACCCTGAAGGGAGAAAATATTTCAAGAAGAAATTTGTTCAATAGCATCCAAAGTAACAGAGGAAGAGAAAGCCACTGATTGAAGTCAGGTTATGACTCTCTTGGATAGATAAAACTAATTCGGGTCTGTTTTGGTGTATTATTGATCAAGTCATATCATCGGATTACAGTTCCTTTCAACAATTTGTGCTCAAAGTTATAAAATTAGACTCATCAGCAAGTACTTATAATCACTTGCTAAGTGGTAACTGGTATAAGGAAGGTCATTTCATCACATCTTCTTACTCTGCTGATTTTATCAGAAGTGAAAAAGCCACTTTGATCTTGAAATCAACAAAATCTAATAACTACTCTATTCTCTTTTGGCTTTGCCACTTGACTATGGCACTTCCCTGTAAAACATGGGTTCTTCTGAGTTCAGTGTATCTCCTCCCATGATATTTGGGTGATGACTCAATTCTCCCACACTTTTTCCTGGAATACTATGAAAACATTGATAGGACATCGTCTGGTCTCCATTTAGCTTGAGTGTATCATTTATATATTTAGTTCACATCTTTTCTATTTAGTGTGACATTATTGAAGTACTTCTAGTTGGAGCCAGTATGATCATAAGCAGAAACAAAAATACAGGTGACAATCAAGCATCAATACAATTTCAGAATATGTTTATATTAAAATTTCTAGGTTCGGGGATCCCCGGGTGGCTCAGCGGTTTGGCGTCTGCCTGTGGCCCAGGGCGCGATCCTGGAGTCCCGGGATCGAGTCCCGCGTCGGGCTCCCGGCATGGAGCCTGCTTCTCCTTCTGCCTCTCTCTCTCTCTCTCTATCATAAATAAATCTTAAATAAAATAAAATAAAATAAAATAAAATAAAATAAAATAAAATAAAATAAAATAAAATAAAATAAAATAAAATTTCTAGGTTCACTGAACTGAAAATATAAAAAACCAAAACCCCCCAGAGATCTGGTGATTCATGTTTCAGAAACATGCCAGGGAGATTATGTCCAATGGACAGGCACCCCTCCTTTTGTGCCTAGACTTTAGTTTTGATTTCTGTCTTTAAGGCAAGTGGGCTTGAGTTCCGTGAGGAACAACAACAGCAGAAGGTGAATCACAATTACTGGCCTGTGATTATATTTATAGACTTCGTTCTAGAATCATTTTACTCCTTTCATATGTTTTCATGTTTTCCTAAAAAATAAATAGGCATGTCTTTAATAATTAACTGTGGTATGTTAACTTTTTCTGTTTCATCCACAGTGCCTAGTAGAGAGTGACAGATTCCAGTTAACAGTTGGTTAAAGCTTCTTTCGTTTAATATATACTCAAGCACTTAATATTATTCCAAAAAAAAGAAAAAGTTTGCATAGTAATTATTATCACGTAAAGATACGCATCAGAGAGTAAGTTAAGAAGGCCTGGCTCTCTCCATGTGGAAGGGAAGGGACAGCAATGCATGGAACTAATTGGCCACTAGTTGTTCCTGCCCACAAGACAGAACATCTCTTAAACGCCTTTTCCTTTCTCTTGATTTTCATGAGAAATCACAGCACAGGGGACAAGGATGTCATTAGAGCTATTTGCTAACATTACTTCTTTTTTCTGAGCGCGTGACAGGATTTCACTTTTTCACATGGCCTTGTGGCTTGTTTGGACCAATCAAAATGTGAGCAGAAGTGATATATATCATTTCTAGGGAGAAACCTTTCAAAGCTGGTATCAGATTCACCATATTCTGTTTTCTCTGCCTTGATGCTAGTGATAATATTAGGATGACAGATCCATCCATTTGTGTCTGTGAGTAAAAATGGTGGGGGGTAAAGCTCTACAGTGACCCCAGATGGGCAAGTAGACCGAGAGATAAATAAACTTTTGCTGTTTTAAGATACTGAGATTTGGGCCATGACCTTGACCTGCTTGATTTTACAGGGACCAAGCACTGGAAGTGGTCATTTTACTCCTATCTCATCAAAAGGGTCTAAGCTGGCTAAAATAGAAAGTGAATGCAGTTAGAAAATAAGTATTGTTTTTGTGAGAATAAAATTATGTAGTGCTTTACAATCCTCAAAATCATTTTTGCATAGCTTACTTCATCTCTTCTCCCTTGTGTTCTTGGGAAGTCATCAGATCTCTACCTCTCCCTTCCAGACCAACATTCCCTGGTCAGTCCACTGCTCTCACTGCCCAGCCCACTTCTAATGTGCCCCTAAATTAGCACTTAGTGCAGTGTACTGCAGTTTTAAAATATGATCTGTCTTCCTAGGAAACTGTGTCCTCCTCACTTTTGTATACCTTCTTTCCAACCAACATCCATGACCCACTGTTTCAAACTCAAAACAGGTGCTTCATAAACACTCATTTGAAGAAGCTGAGAAGTTAAGTGGCAAGTCCAAAGTTACAAGTAGCAATCAGGATTGAAATCTAAGACTTCGGGGCACCTGGATGGCTCAGTGGTTAAGCGTCTGCCTTTGGCTCAGGTCGTGATCCAGGGTCCTGGGATCGAGTCCCACATCGGGCTCCCCACAGGGAGCCTGCTTCTCCCTTTAAAAAAAAGAAAAAGAAAAAAGAAATCTAAGACTTCCAACTCAACATTTCAGTGATTTAACTATTATTTACTGAATACCAAGGAAGAGAAAGCAGCTCTGACATCTAGGTACTGACCTTGACGTTACTATAAGTTTGTCTGGACCATATTCTGGGGACTAAAAGCAATTTCACCGAATAATATCAGACAAAGCCATTCTATAACCATGGTCAAGACAAAAACAAGACCACTCCACAATCTTGTCTAAACACAGACAGATCAGGAACATTGTTTAAACCACAAAAATGACCAAAAAAAAAAAATGTCTACTATAAGCTGCTTCCTTATCAGTTATGACTTTACCCTCCATCTAGTGTTCACTTCTTCTCACTAAGAATTAAGATACCCAATCATAGGATTACACCCACTTCCTGAAAGCATCCAGTACAATGCCAGGCCTTGCCTTTTTGAACTCTCCCCACAAGCGCATAAGCCCAAATCCCATAACAAATTCTAGCACTTCTACTGAGATACCCCATTGTTCCCCATTTAGGCACCCCTCCTCCTCACCAGAATGAATAAACCCCACTTCAGGTGTGTTCCTGATGGGCTTGTTGGTAGGCATGTACAGGGTCTCCTTTGCTCCAGGGCTATTCTGTATACACACATGTTGAGGGTTTCTAATGAAATTTGGTGTGTGACTGTTAGGTCCACTTGACAAAGAAATGGAGGTTCAGAGAGATGAAATCACTTGCCCCAGGTCACACCGCCAGGAAGAGTCAGGGACCGCATTTCAGACCTTTTGTCAGGGGCACTCTCTTTCCCGCATCCTCCATGGGAGGTCCCTACCCTGTTCCCCCAATTCTGCGTTTCTTAGGGCACTTGCCCTGCGACCCGGATGCTACGGGGAGCTGCGTCCCTCGCACGTTACTTTTGCAACTGATCTCCGGTGTGCTTCCGTGAACAACGACGTAAGACTCGGATACGCTTCCCTGCCGCAGAGCCCAGGAGCCAGCCGCCGAGCAGCCAGCAGCCGGGGCGCCGCGGGGTGCGCGGGCCTCGGGGGCGGGCTCACGAGAGTGACGCCGAGCGGGCCAATCCCCGCGCGGGCGCCAGCCACGGGGCCCAATGGCAGGAGAGCCGCGCTGGCGGGTGACAGCGCCGCGGGCGGCCCCACCCGCACCCAGCGGCCCCGCCTCCCCGGCGGCGGGGGCCGCGTGTGCCGAGGACCCACGGCCGCGCCCCCCGCGCGGCGGACAGACCGCGGACCGCGCCGGGCCTGCCGCAGCTCCCTGGGGCCGCGTCCGCAGGGCCACCGGGAGCCGAGCGAGGGCTGCGCGCGGACGGGCGCCGTCGTCACTCGGGACGCAGGAGTGAGCTTTCGGGGGTTTGCTGTAAGAGGAGAGCCTGAGTTTCCCCGACAGGTGCATTCGGTCGAATTCAACGGAAATTCCCCTCCCGGTCCCAGCGCGGCGGTGCAGACCCGGCCCCGACCGCCGCGGGCCGCCCGGCCTCGGGGCACTCGCCGGGCAGGTGCCCGGGAGCGCAGGCACCCCCAGGGGCTCCGGGCCCCGCAAATGCTCGGACCCGCGCCTAGCCGGGCAGGAGGACTGTAACCGCGGGGTGAGTTTAAACGAGAAGAAACAAATCCCTCTCCGACTGGGAGCTGCTTTTTAAAGTCCTCCTTCCTGTCCCGTTAACAAGCAGCAAAATAACAATAACAAACAGTTGCGTAACCGCCGCGTCCCGGGGGGAACCTCTCGGTGTCCCTTTTGAAAAGCGGCTGGCGGTACGCAGTGTGGGGACTGTAGTGCGATTATTCCCAACGAAAATGGGTGACGACTTATTAAAGCTATTTTAAGGCGGCTTGAGCCCTTTCTGTTTCTTAAAAATAGAAAGTAGGACAGTCTCCGGTTTACTGCATACCCCAACCCAAAGTAAAAAAATAATCTCTTGGGAAGTGCTTGCTGCCTTCTCTTCCCCAGCTTGCCTGTTTTCTCCACGGAAGCCCTCTAACTTCCTCGTTCTTTTTTTTTTAATTTTATGTATTTATTCATGATAGACACAGGCAGAAGGAGAGGCAGGCTCCACGCCGGGAGCCCGACGCGGGACTCGATCCCGGAACTCCAGGATTGCGCCCTGGGCCGAAGGCGGCGCTAAACCGCCGAGCGCCCCAGGGATTCCCCCCTCGTTCTTTTTAATAGAAGTCAGCTACCTACCCAGGCAGTATGAAGATCTTCTTTGTAGAACCTGCCATTTGCCTTAGTGCATTTGCTATGACTTTGACTTCTCCACTGACCACACAGTATGTGTACAGGAGAATATGGGAAGAAACCGGCAACTACAGTTTTGTATCTGATAGCAATATTTCTGAGTGTGGAAAAAACAAAAGCAGTCCGATTTTTGCATTCCAGGAGGTAAGAAATTAACATATCCCTAAAAGGTAATAGAAGGATAATGTGTCATGAGGTTTTCAATGAAACAGGGCATTGCACTCATCGTACTTTGATCTCTCAAGGGTCACCTTAAAACTCTTAAATCCCAAGACAAGAGCCTTTATTCAGTTCCCTTGTTTGAAGTTTCCTGACACCTTTAATCTGCTTCTTCTAAGTAAAACCCCCTTCTTTTTCTGTGACACTGGCTGTTCTCTTTTCTCAGAAAGTTTCAGCCTAGTCTCATCTCCCCAGTGGCTGTCCCCTTCCTGCTTCCCCCCAAAAACCTGAAGGTTGGACCAAGGCTAGCTGGAATGAGTACTGGGTGGCCTCAATGGGGGTGAAACAGGGTGTTTCTGCCCTTCCCTTGCTTGCTTCCTCCCAACCCCCCTTCTACTTCACATACATGACCCAGTTTTCATGGAAACACCCCCCTCCCCAAAGGAGCCCATTACTGAACACTATGGGCCCTGGGGCCAGTGTCCATCATGGGCTGCTAGGGGGCAGCATTTGGCGTTCCTCCTTTGCTGTTATCAGGTCAGCTTTGACTCCCAAATGTTGAGGAGCTATGTGAGATTATCTGAGGAGGAGATCTATTTTGGCGCTGAGGACACTGAGAATGTTTAGCCAGATATTACAGGACCTTTCCTTCTGCCTCTCCGGCCTCCTCCCCCAATTTTTTGTTTAAAACTGGTGATACATCACCATTCCCCTGCTCCCTCAGTTTGCATCAAAATCTGCCAATGTCCAGATGCAAAGGAGATGCATTCAGATTTGCAACCCCCCCCCCAAAAAAAAGCCTTAAAAACAGACCACACTTATAAACTTTGAACTATTCCCCTAGAGGATATTTAGTGATGGCAAAAGAGTGGCACTGCCACCACAAAGGACAAGAAGAGTTTAAGGGAATTCGAATCACCTGCCAGCTGGTTTTAAAATTTTCTCCTCAGTGGAAGAGAATTCAGGTATCACTGGGGAGATGAGTCTGAGGCCTGGAAGAAATGGCAAAGGGCCCAGAAGGAAAGCTCTAGCATTTCCGGAGGTGTTTCCTGAGGTGTCAGGTATAACCTTGCTGGGCTGAGGCCTGGCTGTTTGGCACAGTTTCTGCTGTTCCTCATTTCCATGGGAGAAATTTCCTTGGAACTCATAATTACTGGCAAGCTATGCAGGCATCCAGGTTCTGGCCTAAGGTGAGGTCATAAAAATAGGAGGGCCAAGGGATTCACCTCGTGGTTGTGTCTCCTGACTACAAGAATGTTTCCTATGATATATAATGTCATTCCCAGTGAGTGACAAGGTTCAATAGGCTCATTAGTTTCTATATTGGATTCTCTGCTTTCCCTCACCAGACACCTGGGAGCAATGGGAGGGACAGAGGGGGAGACAATGGAATGTCTGGAAAAGTTGGCTGCCCTTGACCTCCCTGAGAGGAGATAGGCTGGGGTTCAGTCACTGTGGTAGCCTCTGTGACTGTGCAGGTGATGAGTATTGGCCCCCTCTGGTCTTACGTAGTTGCTGAGAGCCCTTCACTGCCCAGAGCAGTGGTCTCATTTTGAAGATTTTTGCCAAATGTCTAAGTTGATTGTTGTTTCATTAATTGTTTTTATTAGATTAATATTCAAGATTAATTAGATTAATATTCAATCCCTTCCCTTAAAGGTGACGCTCTAGAGCTACAGGTGCTTTTTCTCGGACTGGGAAGCTAGAAAGCACCACTGTCACCACCCACAACTGGGACAGGTCAGGTGGGCCACTCACCTTTTGCTCCTTAGGAAAGAGGAACACTTTTGCTTCCCTGGAGGCACCAGCATCACCTTCAGTACTTCCATCTGTCCGCTTTTCTGGACAGTGTTCCCGCTCAGTATAAAAATACTCTCTTACCTGGGGTGCCATGCTCAGTCACTTAAGTGTCTGCCTTTGGCTCACATTGTGATCTCAAAGTCTTGGGATCCAGCCCCGCACTGGGCTCCATGCTCAGAGGGGAGCCTGCTTCTCCCTCTCCCTCTGCCTCTGCCCCTAACCTGTGCTCATGCTCTTGCTCTCTCAAATAAATAAAATATAAGAAAGAAAGAAAAAGAGAGAGAGAGAGAAAGAGAAAGAGAGAGGAAAGAACATTCTCTTACCTTTCAATCCAAGGACAAATAAATATTCCCTGTTTTATGAGCTTCCTTCTCAATTCCCAGCTGTTGGTGGGTGCTGACTACTTGCTCACTAAAAATTTAGGAGTTTGAGAACTGTTTTTATAACCCTAAAAATAAATGTCAGAGCACAGGGTCAGTCCCTAATAAAATAAATAAATGATTTTTTTTCAGTTCAGATTTTTCTTTGCCACTCCCCCAAAAGACCAATTATTTATATAAGAGTGCACAACAAAATAGTGTATTAAACTTCTTGCTATTATACTATATTATTTATCCTTTTATAAAACAAATACATGGACAGCTGCATTGCAATGCAAGATCATAATATGAATTTCAGGGTTCAGATATAAGAATTAACTGAGCTATTTCACTTATACTTAACATTTTGAAAGTCTATATGAATTAAAGTCTTATTTTTCAACCCATTGGGGTTAATACATATGTCCATATAAATAAGTATCCATCTAACCTGATTTTCAAACCTTTGAGTTTTCTGAGTCTTGTGACTCTTAAGATATACTTACATACTTCTCTCCAGCAAAATTAGTCTCTAAAGGATGTTTTAACAAAATGGCAAGCCTGTGGGCAGGAAATTCTTGGGTGAGGGAGAAGAGGTAGGGAATTCTAGGCATGTCTGTTGGCTTCTGCAGAGGAAGGGCTTTTTAAACCCCTTGCCACCCTCTCTTTCCCACCCCACCCCCCTTCCCAGGTTAAAGGACTTGTTTTGAAGTATTACACTGGCCACTGTGGTCTGTTCTTTTCAGGTACTTTCAAGATAGGGACCCTGCTGATGTAAGAAAAGATGTTAGGGTTTGAAGCTGAGGGCCCAGAAAGAATTATCGACCTGTCTTTGGTGCAAAAAGGTGGTTTTATTAAAGCACTAAGGACAGGACCCATGGGCAGAAGAGCTTCCCTGGGGTCATGTGGAGTGGCCCATTATATACTTTCAAGTTGGGAGGGGGTTAGGGATAGTGAAAGTCTCTAAGGGATTTTGGAAGCAAAGTTTCAGCTATTGTTGGGAAAAGGTCATTTATTACCGTCTAATAAAACCTTAGTCATGAGGCTCCTCAAATGTGTAATAGTGGACCATATGCTTGGGGGAAGATTGCCAACATGTATCTTGGGGGTTTAGAGATAAAAGAAATTTCCAAAGCATTTTTATACGTTAAAGCTGGGGGTTGGGCTAAGTTAAGATTGCTTTTTGACCTTAGCAAAGTATTAACTTGGAGGCAGCTGAGTCCCTGTCCCTAAGGGAATGTCACTCTGCCTGTTGCAAGGACTTGTAGATAGTAAGGAAATTTAATAAGTTTTAATTTAATAATTTTTCTTCTGCTTTTGTTTCCCACATCACTGCTATTTGGGGAAACAAGTTGGCATTAACCAGATCATAAAGTTGTTCTTGTTCAATAATTTATTTATAAACCTTTTA